CGCCAGGCCCTGCCCCGGTCCTGGCTCGGGAGCATCCCCGCGGGCCGAACCCTCCGCGCTAGGCCTGCCTGGAGACCGGGGGGATTTGCAGAGGGTTCTCCGTCCTCTCTCGCTCGGCAGTGCTTTGTTTCCAGCCAACGAGCGAAATATTTCGGATGAAGCCTCTCAGGCTTTTGGATGAAATCTTGCAATTGTTCAGAGAAAATCTTTCACTTTCTGGATAAAATATTCTCGTTTGGGCACCGAGTTTTTGCTGGAAACTCTATTTCCATGGAAATTGCTGGCAAAGAATGAAAGGAATTTTTTTTCCCTTCTTTAAAAAAAACCCAAACAGCCCTCCACAGTGGAAACACGGATTAACTCTTGTTTTACAGCACCAGAAAATGGTGATTTCCAAACAACTTCAACAACTGAGGGCTTTCCTGGCGCTCCAGTCCATCGTCTTAGGTTTAGGACTTGTTTACCGAGGGGAGTATTTTCAGAATGAAGAGGCAAAGGGACTGAAAGTCCTTGTATTCTCACCTAAGGCTGGGCAAAAAAAAATTACAGCTGCTTCAAAGTAAAAATCTTGTCATGTTCAGTATGGGCAAAAGCTGGCGGGAATCCGGTGGAGAGGGCTAGCGAATTACCCAGAAGGATGTTCACAGGGCAGTGATAAAAGGGAAAAATGCAGGAAAGGATTTTGGAAAAAAAACAATTGGGAGCAGGGGAGGAGAAATAAACCTGACAGAGAACCTATGGAAAGAGTCTAGGACTTTTTGCTCAGATTTCAGTAGCTTTCTGCAGAGCCTCCGGCTCCAGGTACAGCTGGTGCAGGGGGAGGAAAACGGGCATTTCTCCACCTAGGCATGACATGCTCTGCTTTGGAGAACTTGCGCCCCTCCAAAAAGAAAAGGAGGTTTTGTGTTCCTGTGGAGGTCACCATTCGTGTTGATGGAAGGATGCACGTGTGACCTTGGGATGGAAGCCTGTCTGGTCTGTCAAGCACTGGGGCAGGCGTTGTTTTTGCCATCCATCCCAAAGCGTTCACTAGGCTCTGGTCATTTCCCACCCCTGCAACAGCCTTTTCTCTTCCAGTTGCTTGCGCGTGCCCAGGAAATGCCGGGCCTCTAGTTAACGACGCGAACCTGTCACTGCGGCATTTCCACGGCTGATGGACTCACTGCCGGGTTGGCCGCAGCCTGGGTTCCGCTGGCCTTGCTCGTCTGGCCTGTAAATTGCACTGCGCATAAAAACCATGACGTACAATGTTAAGAATTAGAATTTG